ATGAGCCCCCAAGAACGCCCAGCGCGCCCCGAGAAGGCGCTCAGACCCCCCAAAAGAGCTCGAATGGAACCCCACGGCCATCCGAAATAGCCCCAAGTGGGCACCGATAGAACCCCAACATGACCCCCAGAGACCCCCCAAGAGAGACGCGTCACCAGCAACAGCACCAACGCCAGCAGCGGCAGCGCAACCACTACAAACACCACCCGCAGCAGCAGTACCAACAGCAGCACCGCAAGCAGTAGCCTCAACATCAGTAGCATCAGCGGCAGCCGAAGGAGGACCACCATCAGAACCAGCAGCGTCAGCAGCGGCATCAGCAGCACTAACCCAGCCACCACCACCACTACCAGAGCAAACAGCAACACCAACAACCTCAACAACACCAGCAGCACCACCAGCAGCAACTCCAGCACCCGCATCAGCAACACCACCACCCTCACCAACACTAGCACCAGCGCTGCAGCAACGCCACCAGCAGCATCACTGCCATTAGCAACAACCCCAGCAGCACCAGCAGCAGCACCACGATCAGCAGCATCGACAACACCATCATCATCAACTTGCATCATCCGAACCACCAGCGACCAGGACTAACAGTACCACGACGAACACGAGCATCAGGAGCTCCATCAGCAGCGACAGTACGTGAGCAGCACCAGCAACATCGACAACAACAACGCTGGCAACGGTAGCATCAGCGTAACATCATCAGCACGCGCCTCGCTGTCATCGGCACCGTCCTCCTTCTAGCATTCGTATTCGTCCTTCTCCTCATCGTCGTCCCCATCATGTTCCAGGGCTCATCGTCGTCATCCACATCTTCCCTCATCCCCGCACTACTCACCCCCATCCTACAAGCGCCTCCCGCGCGGGCCCCAGATGTGGCCCGACGAGACTTCAATCAACAACCATCGCATTGGTGCCTGAAATTCTCTATCGATATCAACCTGGCCACCCGATCCGTCTCACAGCACGCGTATCTTCCTGTCGCACCCCGCCCGTCAATGTTCATGCGCATCGTTTCTGAAAAAAAGCTGGCGCGGTGGAGATACGCGAAGCGTGAGCGATATCAACTACGAACATAACGGATACTACAATGCCAAGCAACCTTTCGCCCGACAATCCCAGTCGATCCTTGACTGTACCATCCTCGGAGTCACGGGTAACAACCTGGAATATCGCGTGCGGTGGCAAAAACACAACTTTGTCGTCCTGCCAACAACGCTTGAAGAACCCCCCCGATTTGTTCAGAAGACCGCGGTCGGTGATCAGCTTTGACAAGAACTTTGCGAGGGTCTCTTTGCACAACAGGTCGCCGCCGATCTCGAACGTGCGAAGAAGCCCTGGGGGGGGGGGGCGGGGTCGGGCGGCCGACGTCTCTGCACCCCCCTCCCGTTACCACCAACCATCGCCCCTACCGATCTTGCCGAGAACCACCGCCTCCACCCGCCAGACTCGTTCGCAATTCCCGTGACTGCTGCCGCCCCCGTCGCCCCCCCATTCCCCCAACTTCCCCGAGCTCCTTCCCGCCTCCTCTCGCAGTTCCCTCCCATTACCCTCCTATCGATCACTCTAATCACCCTTCCACCAGTTGGACATTCCCGCCCCATCCCACCCCCCTTCCCCCGCCCCTCCCACCCACCCCGCCGCCCCTTGAATCGCCCGCGGGGTCCAGACAAGTACACCATGATCTGCCTCATCCACTGGCCACCCTTCGCGCAAATCGCTGAGATGAGCGCAGCGGGGATCTGGTGGTCGGCGAGCTTCTGGAGCAACGCGAACAGCCATGGCGAGGGGACGTCGGCGAGGGTCTTGACCTTCGAAGCCGAGAAGTAGGGCTGACTCGTGAGGGCCTCCGCCTGGGCTTCTGCTTTCTTGGACGCCTTGGTTGGGCTCTCCTCGATCTCCTGGCGAGGCTTCGCGGCGATGATCTCCAGCAGGGGCGCCTTCCCCTTGTCCTGGGGACAAGGGGCAAACAACGATCGCGGGCGCGGGGGGGGCGACGGGGGGGCCTGCCTGGAGCCCAGCCCTCTGGGCGTAGGTGGTGCAACGAACTATTGACTTCAATCGTTCCGAGAGGCTGCTCAATCTACCTTCCAAGGTGGCCCAAGATGGTTTCCAAATTGGCTCCCAAGTTGGATTTAACTGGCCTCTAAGACGGTTCCCAATATGGCACCTAAGTGGTTTCCAAGATGGCTTCCGAGATGCGTAGAGGCCCCAAGGTGGTTTCGAGATGATCAAAGGCAGCTCAATATGGCCCAATGCAGTTTCCGACGCAAATACAAAAGACCGCACGGCGGCCCCGAGACGGCCTCAAACGACACCCGAACTCGCCAGTGACCCCCCCCCTCCGAAAAAAAGTTGCGGACGTAACCCCAAAACCTTACATGAATTATTGCGTTTACTGTTCTCCTGGCGCGCGCTTCCCCAATGAGACCTGGAAGCGATGAAGTTGACCCAATATGGCCCAAGAGAGCCGCGCGAGGGGCCCAATGCCGCCCCTATTACATAGGGCCCCAAGGGCGCCCACGAGCAATCCAAGAGCCCCCCGCGACGGCGACAACGCGCCATTTCAGAGCCGCTCGCGGGGGAGGGGGGGGGGATGGAGGAAAGCATTGAGAGGAGAAGAACGCTGGCGGATATAACCGAAGTGGAGAACAGAGACGACCGCACAGCCAGGAACGCGAACACGTAGCGAATTGACGAAGGACTCGCGAGCGAGCGTCGGTTGAGTGCGACGCCACAAGGGGGGCCGCGAGGATCCCGAGACAGCCCCGAGATGGCTCCAAGACCCCTGGGCAGCGCTTCCGAAGCGGTTGTTACGCTGCGTGCTTCTACACTTCTCTGATCAAGGCAGCTCGCATCACGAGCTGTTTCTGGTCGGGCTGGCGGGGATGCGCGAAGCGTCAAGAGTAGGAGTAGGAGTCAGAGTAGGAGTGGGAGAAGCAACTCATAGGGGCGGATCAGGAGACAGCGTAGACATAAGAATAACAGTACGAGTCCGAGTAAGAGTGGGAGGGCGGGTCAGAGAAGTAGGAGTACGAGTCGAAGTAGGGGCGCGAGTCAGACTAGGAGTGTGAGTCGTTCGCAGGAACGGTACGCGGCGTACATCGTGCGCGGACGTCAACGCGGCGTCCTGGGGCATCCTCGGCTCGCACTGAAACAATCGCCAAACCCCCAAGCGTGCCAACAATGCATCTAATCTTATGTTGTGGGAGGGCGGATGGGACTGAGCATGCATGCTTGACTGCAACTTCTGTTGCGGGAGGGCGGGCGGGAATGGGCGGGCGGAAAGGACCGTACTCCTAACCCTACTCCTAGTCCTAGACCACCTCATATTCCTACCCCTCTTGCGCTCCTCGAGGCAGGCGCGCACGATGGAGGCCAACGCGATGACTAGCTTCAGTTGCCGCTCCTCTTGGAGCGCGGTGGCCTTCGGCGCCTGCGGCGCTCGGGGGGCGGGGGGGGGGAGGGAAGGGGGGTGGCGGTGAGGGCGGGGCAGCAAACGCGAGCTCCTCGTCTTGGTCGTCGTCGTCCTCCTCCTCCTGCTCCTCCTCCTCCTTGTCCCCGCCCTTTGGACCAAGCCCACCCCCCTCCTCGCGCGTTTCGCCTTCCCCCTCCTCGACATCGCCCTCCTCTGCCTAACCCCCGCCCTGTGTCTCCTGTCCTCTCCCCCGATCCCCCATTCCCCCTCCCCCGCCGCTCCCCCGATCCCACGATCCCCCATTCCCCCTCCTCCATTCCCCCTCCTCCGCGCCTTGCCCGTCAACACAAGGTTGAGCAGCCGGATCTCCGCTGGGATCTTGGACTTGCCCATCGGCGGAGATCAGCGGAGGGAGGGCACGGGTGGGCGGAGCAGGGGATGACACAAAATTGGGGCCAGCCCGCATTCGGGCCGATAGTAGCAGGAAGGACAAGGGTGGACGGAACAGGGAGGAGATGGGGTGGAGCAGGAAGGATACGGGGTGTAGAGGACGAAGCAGGCAGGATAAGGGCGGGCAAGGCACGGATGAAAAGAACACTGAAAAATAAAAGAGGAGGGTTGGCCAAGTGGAATACGAGCGGGAGCTGAGAGGAAGGATGCGGGATGATAGAGGAGGGAGGGAGGGTGAGGGAAAAGGGGGAAGGGAGGGGGGAGGGATGGGATGGTGGAGGGAGGAGTATTATAAAGATATATGATGGTCGCTACTACCTGGAATTCCGGACACAACAATCCTCGAACGATAACCAGGGGTGGACCCGCCGAACCTAAGTTGGGGAAAAAAAAAACCCTGGGACGGCCCAGGCCGCCCCTGTCGAGATCAGGGGCAGGGGTTCCATTTCCTGTTCTGATGTACGGGGGCCTGGTCCTCCCCCCTCCCCTAGAGGCCTCCCCAGGGTGGGGTCCCAGTATAGCTGAGCAGATGGGGCCGGAGGATCGCACCGCCTCGCTCACGGCGAGGGCATTGGAAAAGGAACCGCTGCAAAAGGAATACAGGGTCCTGGTGCTGGTGGAACTACAAGTCGTGGAGAGGCCGTGGATATCACCGCCGCCCTCGCTGGATGAGGAATCCTCCAGGACCTGGCGCCTCGTGAGCACACTCCTCAGCGAACGCCCTCACTGTGCACATCGCCGATACATCGGCGATGCACTGGCGACATCGGCAATGGTGGTTGTGTTGAGGCCTCCTCCTAGGTGGGGTCAGAGTAGATGGGTCGCAGGATTGCGCCGCATCGCCGACGCATCGCCTTTCCGTCGGCGATGCATCGGCGACAACGGCGATGCATCGGCGCCGTCGGCGTGGATAACATCGGGCTCCACATCGAACCGCATTGCCGACGCATCGCCGATGCGGCGCGATCTTCCGACTCCATCTACTTGGAATCCGCTTGGGAGGCCTGGGGCTTGGGAGGAGGCTCCTCCTCCTCCTCCTCCTCCTCCTCCTCCTCCTCCCCCTCCTCCTCCTCCTCCTCCTCCAGATCCTCCTCTGCCCCCCGACGCACGGGGTGCGGCGCACGTGTGCTCGATGACCAGACTGTCCGTCGACAGCGACACCTCCGCGTTCGAGGCACCGCCCCGCAGCCGCACGGTCGCCTACAGGGGGGCCGCTGGGGTCCGCCGCTGCACAAGCGCCAGAAGCTGGGCGACGAGCAACGGCGACGACGACGACGACGACGACGAGCGAAGGACAGCGACGACGACGACGACGACGACGACGACGACGACGACGACGAGCGACGGACAGCGACGGACAGCGACGACGACGACGACGACGAGCGACGGGCAGCGACGACGAGCGACGACGACGACGACGACGAGCGACGAGCGACGACGACGACGACGACGTCGTTTTGTTTTCGGCTTCCCTCGTTTCGTCTTCGTCCGACCTCTGGGGGCCGGGCACCCAGCGGGCCCAGCAGCCATGGGGGGCCTGCTGCTGCGCGCCGTCCCGTAGGACGACGAGCCCGCGGCGTCCACGGCAGCGCAGTGGAGGAGAGAATGGCGAGCGAGCGAGCCACCAGTACGCAGCAGACTCCAGGCCAATCAAATAATATGGGGTCGAAGCCGCGGCTTCTCTGACATATATGATGTACTAGTGCATGATTTAAAGAATAACAATATACTACATGACACTAAAATATGATATAACAAACATAGGAAATATGTTGGGTTATTATATAACTTGGTATGATACACTACATTGAAGTGCAACGTGAATATGAGATGCTATGATATTATGTAGTATGCTGATGTGCTACATACTGTGAGCAGGTATCATAAAACATTGTATCATAACATATACAACCAAACTACATTGCGTAATAAGAAATGCGTTGTATAAGAATACATAGTGCTATAAGTTCAATGTATACGACGCTACGATATAGTATAATGCTGTACAGCGTGATATGACGAAATACAAACTAATATGATATACTGTCATATCACATTACATAAATTGATAGCACAGAGAATCGCCCCCCCCCCCCCCAAAAAAAAAAAAAAAACTTAAAATGCGATACGAGATAGTACACGAAATATGATATAATTCGATAAACGGGATATTAAAATGACAATATATGATACAACACATTGTTATTACAAACCACAACATAGCAAGACATAATGCAACAACATATACGATGATAACATATACCATAGCATCGAATATAAGAGGGCAAACACATGATATACTAGTAGATAGCGTATTCTAACCTGTTATACTACTACATTATATGATGCCCTATGCTCTGATGCACCTTGGTGTACCAACCTATAACATAATATCAAAAAATATGGTATGATTGACGATGAGATGCTATAATATGATGGGCTAAGACATGTACTAGAAAACAGACATATCCAATACCACGACATAATGCAATATGAAAGAATACAATACGACGCATTATGAAAACGAAACATCAAACAATACTGATATGATAACATCAGATAGTATAGCATGGTGCGGGTTACAAATGAATCCGAAATCCTATGAATACGCATAACACACTATAACATACGAAAGCAAGGTGAAGCAGCCTATACCATACTACAACGAATACTTTACACCATGGATCAGGCAAGAATCGAATATAATCTAACTACATGCCATACAACTGGATTGATGTAAACTAACACCATACGGCATTACATAAAAACGTGACATCTAAAATAATATGATACTCCCAACAACAATAAGACATACTGCACCAGATCTTTTTATGCCGCAGTGTACTACAATTATGTAAACGTAACACAACACAACATACCATGGCATGATATGGAGTGATACACAGTGATGGGTTATGATAGAATATACTATACTATAATAGAACAAAACAAAATAACATACAAGATAACACCGTAGACTCGACTATTATACAATGTATACAACTACATATGTGAGTAAAAATGTTGATATATGCATATATGCGCATATATATGTATATACACACATCTATGTATATACACTGTCGCGTGTGAGAAACATGCATGTGTGCTGCGAGGCAATGAAAGATTGCGTGAAGTATAGAGGAGGGGGAAAGGGGAATTCTGCTGCACAGTCGTGCGGGTGGCACTGTACAGTTGTGCCGGCGCGGCGAAGGAGCAGGGACAGTGGTGGCGAGGCAGACAGCCAGCGGCAGCGGCGGCGCCCAAGAGCAGCGGCGGAGAGCGCACGGCCAGCGGCCTCGAGCTCGTCGTAGCGCAGATGCATATCCGCCGCACTGGGTTCGGCCAGTTCGGGGGTGAAGCAGACGGAGACTTGGCAGGCCGCGCCTGCGGCTCGGGTCCCGCCAGGGGCCCCCCCCGCCGCGAACACGAAGAGCTACACCTCTCTCTCCTTGTCATCCTCGTCCTCGTGCTCCTCCTCCTCCTCCTCCCTCCTACTCCGACTCCTGCTCCTCCTCCTCCTCCTCCTCCTCCTCCTCCTCCTCCTCCTACTTCCTCCTCCTCCTACTCCTCCTCCTCCTCCTCCTCCTCCTCCTCCTCCTCCTCCTACTCCTCCTCCTCCTCCTCCTCCTCCTCCTCTTGCACCTCCTTCTCCTCCTCCTCCTCCTCCCTGCCCCTTCCTTCCTCCATCCTCCCTCCTCCTGCCCCTGCACGAGTCGACCCTGTAGATAGCTGCCCCTCGACGCACCCCAGGACATGTCAGACGGGCTGGACGTGCATGACGCCTGAGACTTCCTCACGGCGTATCATTATTGCGCTGAGAAGCTCCGCCGGCTGCACGGATGGAGAATCGACGGTTTTCAAAACGTGACCCAAATCATCCTCGACGCATCCGTTCAGAGTGTTTTGAAGCTCGACCCCAGCCTCGGGCCCAGCGTCGAAGGTGGCGATTTCATCGTCACCTCGACAGGATGCCACATAACTAAATCTGCGCGCAAGTCGCCGACAGACCTTTTCTGCCAGGTCGAACGTCTGGAAGCCGCGCCAGACGCTCTCCATCTCGAACACATCAGCCGTGTTCTGTTCGCTTTCGTCCTCGAAGAAAGAAAACAAATCCTCGAGCTCCTCGAGCTCGCAAGCTGATGCGACGCAATGTTCGCGTGGATCCAGGATGTTGCACCTGAACTGTACTACCTGTGAAATTGGCAGGTGATGGTGATTGCCTGGTTCGCATAGCCACGCCGCTTTCGCCAAAATGGCAACAGTCTTTGCCCTGGCGCGTGACCAAGTGACGTGCGGGGGCGCGCGATCAGGTGATTACCTACCCTACTACTACTACTACTACTACTACTACTACCACCACTACTACTACTACTACTACTACTACTACTACTACTACTACTACTACTACTACTACTACTACTACTACTACTACTACTACTACTACCTACTACGACTACTACTACTACTACTACTACTACTACTACTACTACTACTACTACTACTACTACTACTACTACTACTACTACTACTACTACTACTACTACTACTACTACTACTACTACTACTACTACTACTACTACTACTACTACTACTACTACTACTACTACTACTACTACTACTACTACTACTACTACTACTACTACTACTACTACTACTACTACTACTACTACTACTACTACTACTACTACTACTACTGCTACTACTACTACTACTACTACTACTACTACTACTACTACTACTACTACTACTACTACTACTACTACTACTACTACTACTACTACTACTACTACTACTACTACTACTACTACTACTACGACTACTA